GGCCTACCGAACGCATACAATCTGCGCTGAAGCAGAATCACATGAGTGCTGTGCAGGTGAGCATTTTCTGTGCGTGAGATGTTAATGTGATTCATTAAAAATGTGTGTGTGTGTTTTTTTTTTTAAAAAAAAGCCCTCTGTAATTTAAGACCTTCTTGAAAAACAAGCCCTTCAAAATTTTAAAACCAGATTATAACTTTTTCGTTTTTTAACAAATTTTGAACAACTGCGCTGGCAGGATAATCAGTCACTATATGATTCGTTTTGTTTCGATGGTAAATTGGTACTGGCACATGCAGTGAATCGACAGTAGCCTTACTAAAAAATCTTCGAAAGAAGAAGCTGTCGACAACCTTGTCAGCAGATAGTTGCTGTTAGCATATGCTCTACCATCGCTCAAGCAATTTCCAACTTTCCTGGTTGCTGAGTTGAAAATGGGTGACAAAGTTCATTCGTCTCCGAACACACACATACACATACACATACACACACACACACACACACACACACACACGGATGGCCTACGTTTTTGCACACTGTAGCAACGCTATAGCGCCGCATATTAAAATTGGTCATGAGAAGTCTGCTTGTCTTTGGCGATAACAATGTTTTCTCTCTGATAGTGAGAATTCGATGGCTGGAACCAGGGAGAGAGAGTTTGTAAGAAGTATAAAGGATTTTTTCATTTGGCATAGGATAATAGCAGCCTTTTTTTTTCGGTATTTTAACGTTTCTTGTATACCATTCTGCTGCTAAATGTTTCACAATGGATCATTTTTTTGCAGGCTGCTTTGCTACTTTTGCCAGATAAATTCACGCTTGATCAGTTTTATGCGGAAATTGTGTCACTTTCATATCGCGGTGATTTTCGACTGTTATTCGGTGAAGATCGAGCCAAAATTCGGAAAATTGCTGAGGGAAGCCGAGCTGAACTCGAGCAAATTTACTTGCCACTCCTGAAAACCAGCAATGATGTTTCTGTGCAGTACAGTAATGTTGAGCAGGTTGCTATTGTGTTTTAGTTCCCTTAGTCTGATTTTCGCCTTTTCTTTGAAATGTTTTTGACGTATAGTGCACATTTCGGCCAAAATGTTATTGTACGACTTTTTGGACCGAAACATTTTTTTTCCTGTTTACTGCCTTTTCTAAGATTATAATTCTGTCAACTTTTTTTTATTTCCTTCATAAACATCTCATTTTTCCAATTTCAGCTTGGAATTTAATTATTCCTAGCTTATGATGATACATTTTTGACTAGGAAAGGACAACATGTTTAGTTCGGGGAGAGGAGAGGGAAGCGGGAGAGGGGAGGAATTTTAAAATAGCTTTATCCAATTTTTTTCTAACCTTTCAATTTTTTATTTTTAACTTCTTATTCCTTATCTTTCAATTTCTTATTTCTTGCCCAAAATATGCGACAAAAATCCGCGTGCAGGAGTCAGATTGGGGCACCAGTTATACTACTCATCTCATTTTTTCTTCTGGCGATCCCCATTTAATCCTAATTCCGCCACATTCCTCTTTTATTCTCCCATGTGGTGTGAAACATTAATTTAAGACATTTTTACAATAAAACTGTCCAGTAAGTAAAAATGTACGTAGTAGCAACTCTCCTTTTCATATATTTTTACTCCAAAATGATTTATTTTAGGATACAAGGAGTGCAGCAATGTATGATCGAATTGTTCACTTGCCAGTGAATATACTTCGAAATTTACAACACCAGTTCAACAGTAGGAGCGGTATGCAAAACGACGTCGGTCTGTTTTTGAACTAAGATTTTTGACTTTAATTTTTTAACCGTAAAAATACACGAATTGACGGGCCCGTCGGATCTGCCCATGTTGACTCAGCTATTATACACTGGCATACTCAGCTCCCATTACAGTTAGAGAATTTTCATGTTTGTCGACTTGGTACTGAAATATTGAACATCACGAGAATAATAAATAGCAGCCACTTAAATTTCCGGAGGGAAAATTGCTCGTTGAACAGCTGGATCATTATCAAAAAACGACCACTAAACGGAAATCGTTTATTTTGGTTCATGTAAAATTTACGATGATTTACGGTGTTGAGCGCACAAGGTAGGTGTGAAGCAACAACTGTTCGTGCAGTTGATCTAAATTACTTCAAGCTTGGTGCAAAAACGCATGATCGCATCGACAGGCCTTCTCTTCAAACTGACGCTCATGCAGGGGGGAATCGCTGGAAGTTTGACAGCAGTTGGTTGTTGGTGGTAAAGAACTCTTTCATTCGACTGGTTCGTCACCTCAGTTTAGTCCTTTCGGGGTTCTCATCCAGACTGCTACTGCAAACTTTAATGAGAC